CCCGCGGGCCGAGGCAGCCCCTGGTCCTCGGTGCCGGCGCCTGTAGCCCTGGTGCAGACTTTGCTTTATGCCTCGTTACAGCCTCCCCGTGGGGCTCTGTTCAGCCCACGGGCGCTGCAGCACCCGCCCGGAGCAGTACGGCCCGGCGCCGGGCGCTGAGCCCTGGCAAGGCCGGCACGGTCCTGCCCTCCCCAGCTCCCCTGCCGAGCCGCTCTCCTCCTTGGCAAGGGCTCCCGGCAGCCGCCTCCACCACGTCCAGCCCGTGGCGTTGGAGGAGCACCAGGGTTGGGGCTGGGGCGTGCTGAGCACGGGGGCTCCATGTAGTCCCCGCACAGCCCATTTTGATGGGCTTGAGGAAACCACTGGGGAGAGACCTGTGGCAGGACGGTCACTCCGCAGCCTCCCCCTGAGCATGCAAGGTTGAGCCCGGAGTTTGTCCCGTAGCTGCTCTCTGACATCAATGTTCTCTATCTGCTCATACCGTGTCTGCTCGCTCCTCCTCACCAAAGCAGGCAGGCAAACATTCCAGCTCTTCTGTTTTATTTTCATAGTAGGTTGCATGTATTGTGACCTTATTAATATTTACACAATGCATGTAAAAAAGTTGCACTTGTTTGTGTTCTTTTTGAATGACAAAGGAGCACTTTCAGTCAGCTCAGCTGGTTCTCCAAAAGACAATATATTTCTTACAATACCTTTCTTACCGCTGAACCCTGGAAACCAAAATCTTGGCTGGGCTATGTTGACTTTAGAGGTGCTGCCCTGCTGACCCAGCAGAGCATCTTGTCTTAAAACACAATGTGAGGGAATGATCTGCAAGTGACACTGAGTTTGTCTTTTAGAAATACTTCCTTAAACACTAGATTTGCTTTTGCAGCAATTTCATGAGTTTTATACTCTATTTTTTTTAAAATACTATTCATGCTCTCAGAAAGGGTTTATGTGATACTGAGAGAGCTTGTGCAGAGAGAACTTTCACCAAGTATGAAGAAGGAGGAGTGACGAGTGAAGAGCTGCTCTTGTGCAGCAGCAAGAAGGCGGCGTGTAAACGCGCCCGGTGGGTCACAGGGTCCCTTGCTGTCTGTGCAAGAAGACTGGAGCGTCGCTACTCCACGTTGCTGGCTGTAATAGAGTAAATGTTTTCCGTTACGCTCCGCATGGCATCAGCGCTGTCCTTTGGCTGCGGCTGGCTGGCCGCTCCTTCCTCCCCACAGCACTCTTGTGGAAAAAGAGATATTCATCTCGCTGGGCTACTCTAGGGACCCAGGCTCTGAAAAGAGGCATTGCTATGTGACCTTTTTTTCTTGGTAAATAAGGAGTGGTGATTACTGAGAAAGCACAAACAGTTCTGAAAGGAGACTTTATTTTCTGTTTTCATGTATGTTTATGTAAGCGATAACACATTTATTTATCTCTTGTATGGCCATTTCAGCTGAGAGAGCAAGCTGGCCTGTGAGCCCAAACGCTTTGGTCTCCCAAACTGCCTGGGTGGCTGGGCTCTAGTCTGGGGTGACTTTGGTCACAGCAGGGATTCGCTTTTCCTAGAGCTCTGCCCCTTTAGGCATTGGGAGCTGCCTCGGGACAGCTGCTTCTGGGACCGTGGAGCCCAGCGTGAGCTGCAGCCCGGTTACAGCACAGGCCAGTCCCAAACACCGCTCAGGGACCTGGGGACTACAGAGTGACAAGAGAGGGACACGATTTCAGGACAATGGAAAGTGGTCCTGAAGGGCCGCGTGACTCGAGCCCTCCTACTGAGGAGGCCTTGGTTAACCAGCTCCTGCTGCTTTCGGGGGGAAATGGTGCCTCAGTTTACAGAGCCACACTATCAGTGGTGTCAATGCAGCTAAAACGTCCACCTCCTTTTTTTTTTTTTTTTAATAAAGGAAATAATCTCTATTAATTCCACCCTAACCTTTTCCTACTGCTATCAAAGGTGAGAGATCCATCAAGTTCTGTGGTGTAGGATGAGCTCAGCGAGCTCAGCTGGAGAACTCCTCTGTCGTGAAATGACGAGTGGCCGGGAAGCAAAGCAGCAGTGAGTGCTGCCGTGCCGTCCCCAGGCTGCAGGTGACTGTTGCTGTTTGTTTTGGGTACGGGTAGCCAGATGTGAGCGGGCGCTACCAGCTCTCCTGTGTTTTCCTGCCGCCGTCTCAGCATGGCACTGCTGTACTTTGAGAAATTCTCAAAGATGAAATAAAGATGTGGGGTTTTGATGGATTCAACTACTGTGCAGGTTTTTATATACTATTGCCATTCCATTTTGTTCAGTGCATCTCCAAATCTTTGAAGAAATGCTGAATTGTCCTGACACACCAGTTATGTGGTATACCCATTCACATTTCTATTTTGCAAAGCCAAACCAATTACAGTGTTATGCTGCTGTTGTTTTATTGACTGTATTATGTAAAAGCACTTCTTAAAAAATATTCCATGACTGTTACATTTTGCACAAAGCAAATTCTTCATCCAGAAAGCTGAAAAGTAGCAACAGCATCTCCCAACATGGACATTAATGTCCAAAACAATATATAACCCTATTCTGTCCTAGGTGAGACAAAAGGTCTAATTCCAAACTATGTCTGAATCTTCACCATGTTTCTGTATTCATTATCTAGTTTCTACAGAGCTCCATTCCATAAGAAGAGGCCTTAGAATCACTGAAGTTCTGCTGCCTTCTAATACCAAATATTTTTGTCTTTAGTAGAGTTTTAGTAATGAGTTTTAAT